AAAATTCAACCAAATCAAATTGCATCCTTTCATCAAGTTATATTATTACATTTTAATTGGCAAAACTATCCAATTTCATCCACTTCTCCTTCCACAATACATTTCACTACAAATTATTTCCTCTTCCAACCTTTCGCTGTCGAGATTTGTCTACTTTTGGTATCTTTCATATTCATTCCCGGTTTACTGTTAACAGATAATTTCATTGGATCAAAAATGAGTGAATGAGTGAAGTTTCGGGATAATCTCCAAAAAAGATGTTGTCTCCTGTAGAAACCTTTCTCCAGTCGTCACACTGAAAAAACGGCGTAAAGCTGAGATCATTCATACTGACAGCGGAAGAGGATGCGAGCGGTGTGTGCGCAGTGCATTCCAACGCATCAGTTACTTGTGATTCTGCATTCGAAGGATTCGTTGCAACAGGTGTGGATGGAGTTGCAGTAACGTTTACGTCATTCGCTTTGGACTCTTCTGAAAGTTGACGATGGAATAAATTCCATATCACCATTTCCAATGATAATCTCATTGGAAATGGTGATAAATTCCATTGAATCTTGTTTGCTGACCGCAAAGAAGATTCAATGGAATTTAACTTTTAATACATTTCAATAACTATTTTCTTAATCAGATTCTCAAGTGCTTGAATTTTTATGAAATTGAGTGGGAGGGTTTGAAATTTCCTTGTACTCACTGAAGCAAGATTGGTCTAAAGCTTGATCACAATCAACGATATGAGTAGAAAAACACAAGCTCTTAACAATAACAACTCACTAGTGACGGCCTTATTCTGTGATCGATTCAAATCTGCTAGACGACGTGCAACTGAGGACGTTTTCCTTGTGATCGCAAGCGTTCTTATCGTCGTGTCGGATGTCATCGGATCATCCAGAGCGCTCGTATTCAATCGAGGACTTACCAAACGATATTTGCTGAGACGTTCTTTCAGCATCTTCTGACTTCGATTCTTCAGAAACAGCGCACGACTCTTCATCGCTACCTTCTCCCATCTGTGAATTTAAATGATCACTTCAAACTTATTCATTCTGCACCCTCACAATCGTTGAAAATTCATTTTCACAGAAAAATTTCGGTTGTTCGAAAGCATAACAAACAACCGGTTAAATACTAATTCAATTCCAGAAAACACGCTTCCTGCCTTAAAATGGAACGCATCAAGCTGTTTTGGTTCACTTAAAATGAACGATTACCACACCATTACGATACCATCAATTCATCGCCTATTTAGAATTACCACCAGACTGCACGAAGTTACTTATCATCGAAAATAAAAACAGTTGGACTTACTTTGACGTTCGATCCGCTTTTACAGCCGCTCCGCCCGGAAGTTTAACACCAACAGTCTTGTTTTTCAATCGCTTCAGTGATTTTGCTTGCAGTGTGTTTAATCTACTAGTTGTCACCGCATTGGTGCGTTTGCCTGACGACAACTGACTGACAGTGTTGGTTGCAGTTCCTTCTGGTTCTGATTGTGACGAAGCTGAAAAAGGCAACGGAATAATAACACCATTAATCTTAATAAAACCAGCAACAGATTCATCCAAAATAATACAAACATGATATCACTTCTCAGAGATGAGCGTTAAGATCTCTCAACTCCATTCCACCCAATCCAAAATGATACTTCCCTATTCAGTATTCCAGAATGAACCCTACTGAAAACGTATGCTTCAGTCAGTTCAATTCATATTCAACGTTACTGATAACTTATTCATTCATCAATCTCACTTCACTTAAATCTTTATTTAAATGATAATACACACCTTTCGATTTTCCACACCAAAACACTGATTTAAATCTGTTTGTTCATTAACCTCAAACGTTATTTATTATTGCCAATATCAACTCAATAACCCGCGACGAAATCATCAAAACTAAATCTAATAATGATAATACACACCTTTTGATTTTCCACACCAAAACACTGATTTTTCACTGCTTTCCACACCTTTGCTTAACTTCTTCATCGTGTCAGTTGTTTCCTTCTTATCATTATTTGCCGCATCGACAGCACTCTCTGCATTTCCATTCCGTTTATTTCTCAACGAAAATCTTCCCAATAAACTTTTTTTGACAGGACGCTCTGTTTGTTGCTCTGCTTCAGCTGGTTTTGACTGCGGTTGTGAGGTGGACTGATTGGATGACGTATCTGTTGTTGCTCGATTCGATGCTGACGGTCGTTGATTAGGTTGTGGCTGATTAGGAGCAGTTGATGAACGACGGCTCATCGATCGTGTGACACGAACCTGAGCACAACGATACTCTTGCGGCGATGGCGGGATTAGGGCTGAGTACAATTCNACTACAACCAAGATGGAATTATTCGAGCGCACAACAATAACACTACCACCATCAACAAACCTATTTCCATAACAATGAAAGTTCATCGGTCGTGGTGTGCCTCGTCGAAAAACACCGTTATAATATCTGCATTCGGTCAGCTCGTCCTCCGTACGATGACTACCGCCAAACTGTAAGTGCAACGAAATCATAAACCAAAAAAAAACACAATCCCTGAAATGAAGCGGTACAATTTGCAATATGAATCCGTGCTAATTCATCCACATCACTACACTGAACAGCCTACAGTGTCAACAAAATCACCGCATATGACATAACTCCTTCAAAGTCATTCCACAGAATTGCCAACTCTCACCTGTATTGGTATGGAATATTCTACCGGTTCCAACGGCGGCTGTTGCTGGCGATAAGGTGCACGCCATGAGCCTGATCCGTAATAATTACCACCATCCGGGTATGCTGAATAAGCATTCGGACCATACCAGCCACTTCTAAAACATATTCGCTACCAACGGTATCACAACGAATTCAGATGAAATTTCTGTACATTTTTACAGGAACTTAATGGATAGATCATCGTAAAAGGTCTTCAGTTTAAAGTTCGCTCTTCAACCAATCAATCGATCAATAAATAAACCGATCAGTCAGTAACCTTTGGTTCACCGGGTTTCGTCCTACCGCAAGCGGTCCACATCTTCCCCAATCCTCACTGGTTCCACTGCCGAATCCGTACTGATGATTCGGTGGATTCATAAACGCATGCCGTTGTTGGTTATAGTACTTATTATTTCTATCCATATTATCCGCATTCAAGTCACGACGTTCATTAGGATCCATCTTGAACATTTTTTTCAACGTCAAAT